TGGGGGGGGGGGGGGGGGGGGGGGCGTAGAGCGGCGGGTTACCTCTGTGTTTTCCTTTTGCTCCGGTGTTGGGCTTCAACTCTTCAAATGTACATTTGGATTCATGGAATTGATTGCAGTGGCAGCCAATGCAAAAACAATGTCCCACGTTGCCTGAAGAGAACTCGGCCATTCTGGAATCGGCCAGGTTCACACAAAGTTGATGGCAGCTCCGATGACCGTCACCGCTGTCCTTTACGGTAACCGATTTCGTAGCCTCCGCGTTAGCGGAAGTCCAACGGGCTGTCGGCGGGATGCTCTCTGCTGCCGATGAGCCTGAGGAAGGAGTTTCTCCTTGGGATGCACCAGTGGGGACTTCAGCCTGTTGCACAACAAGACCGGAATCCCGCTGCGGGTTTTGATCAGCCACAGGTTCGGGAGCCCCATTTTCACCAAGTGCCTCTTTTGGCGATGCGGAATCACGTTGGGAACAAGTCGGAGGGTCCTTTTGTGAAGGAGCCGCGCCAGGGTCCCGTTTTGGAGTTTCCGTCATTTCAGGGCTTTGAACCGAATTCCTTGTTGGACTTGGCGAGGGTTTTGCCTTCCCAGTCGGGGTACTGAAAACGAGGCACCCATCTGACAACGGAGCAGAATCTGAGGAGGAAAATTTTCGGCCGCGGGTCGCATCACGGCTACCCTCACAACAGTCGTTCTTTTGTTTTGACAGCATGTCATTTTCAGGGTCCTCCGCAAGCATCCCGTTCCGCAATATCCAGTCCTTGCTCGGGATGAAGGCTGCTAAAGATTCCACAGACCACACTGATTCGTTCAGTTTCCTTTCACCTCGAGAGGTACCTAATTTATAAGGAACACTCCCGCAAGGGTTTTCACCTGGGTCCGTCACACGCTCATTTTCTTCATCGTTTCGGACTTCGCCTGAATCGTCAAACGAATGCGCGCCTCCATTTTGGGATTCACATGGCTTTTTGGAGTCGCGCATCCCCTCTGCTGCTGCACTCGCTCTTCCGGATCGCAGAAGCCCGGGACCCTTGTTTCTCTCAACGGCACTCTGACAAACAGGCCCTTCATCATCCTCGCTGTGAAAGACTGCGTTTTCGGAAGCTTTCGGCGGCAGCGCCGCCTCCTGTGGCGTGCTCGCTCTCCAGCACAGCACGATGTCACTGAGGGGGAGACGGCCTTCTTTGAGAACCTCATGGTCTTGTTGCGAGGCGCTACGCGCGGGGACCGGGCCACCTCCGGGGCTCAGCGACCACATACTACGAAGGTCATTCTTGCAGGGTGGGCCATTTTCCAGAGTGGCCACCTCTGCGAGGTCGCTGCCTTTTTGGAACGCTTCACCGCCCGACTCACCAGCCTCATTTTCTCCAGGACGGGGACTGCTTTTTTCGGCAACCTGGGCGTCCACGCCGACACAACTGGTGGGTTGAGGATACTCAGCAGAATCTTGCTTCGGTGAGCTCGAACTGCAAGACGGCGAAATTGAAGCCGTTCCTCTGCCCGAATCCAAAACCACATGGACGCTTCCCTCTTTGTCGCTAGCCGAGCCTTCGCTAGGTTCGGTTTGGACCTCCGAGTTGGCGGTTTCTCGCCCATAGGAAGGATAAGGAGAGCGAACTCTTCTCGTCTGGTACAGTGGGCCTTGAGCATGGGGCACGGGGTGGAGAAAGTGCCTGCTGTAGTCAACCGGTTGAAGGTGGGGGTGGGGCATGACGTATGCTGGAGCCTCTAAATAGGGGGGAGGCAATGGGGGCACAACCATTCCGTAGCCTGAGAGATGGTAGACAAATCGTTTCAAATGGGTCAATTTTTTTTAAGCTGTTCAAAAAAAAAAAAAAAACACTTAAACGAGTCAATTATCTGAGAACAGGCACACATTAAAACTGATCAAATGATGTCCATTCATATTAAGACACACGGGAAGCGCAGGGCGGGGGGGGTGACATCCAACTGTGCCAATCTGATGAACTGCATACATGCGGTGGTCAACTAGTCTTAATTCATCATATCACAATTCACCACAAGATGGTAGAAATGTTCCATTTGCACGTCGGCCTCAATTTGGGGATTTGGATTCATGGTGCCTCAATATTCAAATTTTAAGGGAGTTGATTTTTTTGGAGGGAAAAAAAAAGGAGTGATTTGGTCCATGATAGTATTTTTTTCATTGATCTGGTTTGGTAGTAATGATGAAAAATGTTTGCCCCCCTCCAGCATTTAAATTGCCCATCCCTGACCCTTAAACCAATTTGTTCAAATTGTCTGCATTTGAGTCAGCTTCTTTCTTTTTCAGACACAGGCATGTTTAAGAACCGCATTTTGGTTCCATTTTTATTCGTAATGCAATACATTTGAATAGAATATCCCAAACTTGTTGTGTATGGCGTTTACAGCACATCTGCCTATAAAAACAGTCGAGGCCTCTTAGTACTCACCCATTCCTGGGAAGCCGGAAAAGGGATTGTAGGAGAAGGGTACGGGCCACTGGTAGTGCAGAAACGGAGGTGGAGGCGGAGCAGGGACGTAGAAGACTGCTCGCGTCGACATCTGGGGATGGGCCGTCGATCCCGGGTCTTGGCTCGGGCCCTGCAGTCCTGGGTCCGACTGTCTGCTGGCGTTTGGTGCACAACCGGCGGCCCAATAGTGTCGCGCCCTGTCCAGTTGCGGCCGAGCCGTTGGGGGTCTGTTCACGGTCGCCATGGTAACCTTGAAAAAGGACAGACAAGGAAATTCCCATCACGGTTCATCAGTCCAACTCTTCTGCAAGAGTCAACGGTACACTAAGGCTATTGAGGCACGCACACAAAAGCACCGCTGAACACATCCGCAGAAGCAAATAAAACTGTTGAAATCGTCAACGATTTGAAGGCATTGCAAAAGGGTTGAAACGCCAACCTGCTTTCGACGCAAGTTGCACTTCCATCAAGGTGACCAATTTTGGTTAGCTTACTAATTATTATGCTGAAATGATGAATCATTCCTTCATGCTTGAACATTTGAGAAATTATGTTGCCGCATATATATCTCCTCAATCAATGCCTTGGTATTTCAACACCGTGGGCACTTTGTTCGTTGGCTATCAATGCGAAAGCAAATGTAAAACATTCAGCCCGAGATTGACGCAGCGCAGTTTTTGGGCAGCTGTTCAAAGTATGAAGCTCGTCTTGCAATCTCCGGCAAATACGATCTATCGAGCTCGATGACCATAAAATTCCACGGAAATGAGTTCATCAAACAAGGACGGTTTTTAATGTTCTTTTGACGATTGGCAATCGTACAAAATGAGGCTTCATGAGGCCAAAAAGCTACATGGAGTCGACCGAAATGCTTTCCTTTGAATAATTCTTGGCTTGGTATCCATTACATTTTCGTTTCCGGGAGAATCGCTCGGCCGCACCGGATTGCGTCACGGTCATCGAAAAAGAAGAGCGGTTACCTTGCGAGGAAAGCGTCAGCGGTAAACCGAGGAACTCCGAAGCAAGCCACGAAGGGTTCACAAGAAGCGGCGCGGGCGCACACCTGCGTTTAAGTGACTGCTTATCAAAGAAGCGTGCGCGGAGACTCGCCTCGCCTGGGCGGAAGTTCGGGCCCGGCCGACGGCGCTACCTCGCGCACGTCTTCTGGCCTTTGTCCACTAGGGGTAGTCCAAGTCGAGAAAGGCAGCGCATAGGCTCTGCTGCGCGTGCGTGACCGCGGCGGTGTTTGCACCTTCTTGTTTGTCAACACGCGCGGACGTTTACCTCGCGTCCATGACAATGTCACTTTGTAAGCGTTTGGACACAATTCTACTTAGTTTTGGATTGGCTCTTTTTCTTTTTTTTTGTCACTGCAAAAAAAAAAAAGAAAAAAAAAAGCACAGATGAACAGCGTCTTCAAAAGCATCCAGTTGGTGAGAGGAACATGCAGTTGCTATGGTTCCCGATGTCACTCAGCCGTGGAAAATTGTATTGAGGAATCGGGGGCGGCTGGGGGATGCTCATTATGGAGAACAAAGGAAGGGAATCCTTTCGTTAGGTCCCATTTATCGCAACAAATGGTTTCGTTGTGCACCCTTCTGCGATAAGCACCACAGAGCGTGTCCGGTAAAACCACCGGCTAACACCTGCAGACACTCTGGAACACATTTCCAAAACAATTTCATCTTCATCGCGGCCTCTCTGTCTCTGTCGGCATCGACTTTGACCGCGTCCTACTTTACGAACCAAAGCCTCGTTGTTCACCACCGGGTCCCTTTTCATCCGGTGAAGGACCAACTGGATGCACGCGCGCACGTGCGCTGACAAAGTTCCAAAGTGGAAAGAACATTTCGGGCCGCGTTCCTCCACTGCCGAATGGCCAAAAGTCTTCCACTCGGCTCGTTCGCGCTCTCTATTCAGCTCGGTCAAGAGCGGGGTTGCAATGATGATCTAGCGGCTTCAGGAGACAGCGTGCAAGTGGATGATTTGAGAGCAAAAGTACAAGAAGACCATGATTTCGTCATCTATCCGATTTCCGGTAGATGAAGAGCTCTTATTTCACAATCAGCTCTGTGTGTGTGTGTGTGTGTGTGTGTGTGTGTGTGTGTGTGTGTGTGTGTGTTCTCATCTCTATCCTGATCCTGTAAGACAAAATATCAAACTCTTCACTTCCAAATCACTTCAGTTTAGTTTGCCCCCCCCCCAAAAAAACAAACAAAACAAAAACAAACAAACCCACGGACAAGTGGAAGTCGCACGGCCAAAACGTACGCGATGAAATGACGACAGAAGACTGTCTTGAAGTTGTACATGTCTGCGTGTGCAGGACCGTGCCCGCAGAGAAGGCCCGGAAGGCCCCGACGGGACGCCACCGATAAAGAAACACCCACATGCAGTGTGAGACTCAGCCCATGTCACGTTTGGGCTATCGCCGTGTTTGGGTCTGATAAGAGTTGTACGAAGAGGTCACGATAAAGCATCCACTCTTTTGCTCTTGGGCGATAACGGAGAGTCGACCCACCCTTTGTGAATAAGAAGAGGCTATGAGGCAGGAAAGCAGGTCACAGAGCGGAATCAAAGAGTGCGACCAGGTTCAAATGTGGGCGCAAATACTCCTTTTGCAGTTTGCTCATCCTGTATTTCGAAGCGTACGCGCGTCTGTCACATTTGCTTGACGTCGTACTGCGGTCACTTAGTTGCCACGACGTGCCAAAGGTGGAGCGGCTGAGGTCGGTGATCCAAACGACCTTTCGACTCGGCGTCATTGTCAACTTGCTTCAAGTGAAAAGACGGTCGGCCCGGAGGTGGGGATTTCCTTCCATGTGACTCGAAGCCTACATTTTGCTGCCACGCAAGTTCACTGTAGCTTCCGATGTCACCGCGACGTCCTCAGTCAATGGCGACCCCGTCGCTGGATGTTTCTCCAACGTTCCGAAAAACATGCACGCTCGCTTCACGGAACGCTCAAAATTATCCCCGGGTGTGACTGTGAGCGCGGCTGGTCGTTCACGTCCGTGTGCCCGGCGATGGGCCGGTGACCAATTCGGGGTGTCCGGCACGGCCGCCGCACTCCTGAGATGAATGGATGAATCTCAAGATTCTAAACCCGTGTCGTTGCTTTTGCTACAGTTCAGTCTCCGAAACACGTCATGACAAGCGCGTTTTGTCTCATCTGAAATTGTCGACGTACCACATAAAATCTCACCTCGGAGGCTGGCCGCACTCCGCCAAGGACGCGTGAGGACAGATGTCATTTGGGAGTGTTTCAGTTCAGAGCAGCTCATTGCTCTCTCGTGTCAACATATGAGTGATGAATGCCGAGTCGTTCTTCTTTCTGGCGGCGTCTGTCCTGGTCTTGTCGGAGTAAAATGCACCGCTGTTTTTTAAACAGCAGCAGAGTCTGATTAAGGCATCAATTTAGATGTATCGATTGATAGTTTTGTTTATCTTTAAAATCTTTAAAACCCGCCTCAAAACTCACTTGTATTCTTTGGCTTTTGACTCAGCATGACTCAGACTTGATCTTAGTTTTACTGTTTGGTGCTTTCTACCGTCTTTGTTACTGATTTGTTGCTTTACTGTTGTATGTTAGTTGCTCCATGTACAGCACAGTGTGTGCAGCGATGGCTGTTTGAAAGTGCTCAAGAAATACAGTTGAGTTGAGAGCGATCATTATTTCCTTTGAGGATTCTAAGAAGCTGAAGTTACAAGTGAGAAAGAAAATAATCGGTAGCCTGTCAGGTTCAGCAGTTTGGAGCCAACGACCATGAAAACGCTTGATGGGGAAATGCCACGAGACAGGTGAATATAAAATCCGATATGGTTGAATGCATTTTTCGTTATTATCACAAGGGAAGTCAAACAAATTGGAGAGGTGTACTTTACATATGAAACCACAATTTGTAAAACATTTAATAAGGGGGAAAAAATGCTGATTTAATGAAGGCAAAAAAGAGGTGATCATTTTGTCCCCGAATCGATCAATTTCACATTGCTTGGTTCATAAATTAGTCTTTGACCAAGTGAAAACTCAACCGCTTCCTTCCAAAAAAAAAAAAAAAAAAAAAAAAGAAATTCAAAATAGGCCCAAGCAGTCGTGGGCGAATGAAAGAGAAATTCATCCCACAAAGCTAATCGAAGCCATTCAGGTAAAGAACAAAGAAAATGGATCAAGTGACGGAAATCAAAGTTTCCCATTTTTTATTGAGCCAAGGCACATATTTGACATTTGGAAAAAAAAATTACACTGCCAAAAAAAACAACAAAAAACTCACATCAAGTGAATGCCCATCTAATGTAAAAGCATTTTTCAAATTCTACCTGTCACTATATGTTGCAGGCTTAGATAGCTACACGATTTGGAGTAAATAAAGAATTTTCCTACCAATGAAGCAAAATTGGACACGTTTGATCACCGTCATGTGCACTATGGAACGGCACATTGGGAAACATGGACGCAAGCCAGGTCCTGATTTATTTGAAGGAGGCACGGACTTGCCGTCCCTTCAAAGGCTGAGGGGGTCGGTAGTTGTCCGCCATGCAGCACTCGTCCTCTCCTTTCCCACTGAAAAGCAGGCTGCGGAACATGGCCATCTATGGATGAAAGACACACGTGGTTTGCCGGAGAACGGAGCGCACTCGCAACTTGAAAAGGAATATCACAAGAGGGACATTTGACTATCCGAAACCCGCGTTATTGCCAGTCAGGTTTGCCTTGTGTGCCAGGAACTGTCAAACGAAATATGGTGACAAAATTAATTCAGGCTGTTTGAGGCGCATATCTTGATGGAAAAAGGAATTGTTCTGCTTCCAAGGAGGTATAAATGGAGGATATATATATATATTTTTTTTTGATGAAAACAAACCAAAAAAAAAAAATCAGTACATTGCAACGAGTATATTTCTGGCATGACGGTTTGTCGATCGGAAGTACCTGTGCGGGGCTGACACTGATCTGCTCCTTGAGAACAATCCATGTGACGCTCTCCAAAAGAGGCGGCGTGGTGAGGGAGCCGTCGTATGTCCAGTAGTCCCGAGACGCGGGCAGGAGGGTCTCCGGGTCAAAGTTGGCAAAGGTGGTCTGCAGCCCCTGGAAAAGGAAATGCAAACAAGTCTTCACAGGTCCTCCCCGCGGACGGCTCGTCGTCCTCATCATCGTGTGTCGTCAGAATGAGAAAACGACATTCCAGGTGGGCGCGCTTCACCTTTGTCTTAATAGAAGCCAAGGCATCCAAGACTTTCTGCAGCCTGGGGTTGGCAGCACCAATCTGGAGGATGTCAATCTCAGTTAGTCACGAAAGAACCATTTGCCAGCGCATTGGAGAGCCGAGACGGCGGCGGTGTTGACGCACCTTGAGTAAGACCCCGACCACAGCAAGTCCATCAGACTGGCCGGCCGCCTCTCCGAAGCTGGGATATTTGGTGTTCCAGTGCACCAGGTGAAGCTGACAAGACAGCCAAAGTTCAAGGCACTTCACAATGACGTCACGCAACGACGGAAGCTGCGGCCGAAGGGGAAAGACCTCCCTCGAGGGGAAACGGACATCGACTCCAACTCATTGGACGGCAACGCTGCTTTATTGCTCCTACTCAACGACACGTCGCATGAAGCGGGCAGATGCCAGCGAGCGTTGATTGGCCATTTCTTTCTTGGGTTTGTTTTTTCATCTGTTGGTGGACACGACGACTGTACACATGATATGCCATCTTTTGAGAGAGGGCGAATTTTCCGTTTTAATTTCAGAAAATTTAAAACTACAAATTGACGGCACGGCGCCGGATCGGTTGGCACATCGGCACGGAGGCCGAGGGTTCGATTCCGGCTGCGGCCTTCCTGTGCGGAGTTTGCATGTTCTCCCCGTGCCGGCGCGGCTTTTCTACGGTTTCCTCCCGCATTGCAAAAACATGCGTGGCAGGAATAAGGGAGGACTCAAAATTGTCCCCGGGTGGGATTGCATGCGCCAGTGGTCGTTCGTCAATGTGTGTGCCCTGCGATGGGCTGGCGACCGGTTGAGGCCGTCTCCCGCCTACCACCCCAAGGCAGCTGCGAGAGGCTCCGGTACACCCGTGACCTTCCTGATGAGAAGGCGGTTCAAAAAATGGATGGATGGATGGAAACTACAAATGTTCGCAATGGCGTAATTGTGCAGACAAACCGAGCTAGCTCTCTTCCAGCCAGCCGCAATAAACAAGGTTGAACCATGTTTTTTTTTTTTTCTCCCTACCTCACATGGGAACTTGATTCCATTGATGGTGTGCTCAGAACCTCTTTCGTCGCTGGCTCCCCAGTGGAAATGAAACTGCTTCAGACGGTATGTCCCAGAAATTGGACCCCCAGTAAGAACTGGAAAGGAAACAACATATCAAATGGGAACAGTGTGACGTCACCACTGTTAACCCGTTGGTGAGAACCTTGACAGTGTGAAGAGTATTTCCTGATAAAATGTCTGCGCTGAAAGGATAGCGATCTTTATACACAGTATACTCTTAATGGCCACCTCTGGAGTTCCACAGGTCAGCAGCCCTCTCTGCATTTTCCATATTCTCTCTTTCTGGAGCGAATAAATACTTTTATGTTTTAAATGAATGAGTAATGATTCGTAGCTTCCACCCTGCGATTGGCTGGCGACCAACCCTCCGGCACGCCCGCGACCCTCCCTAAGCATAAGCGGATTCGAAAATGGATGCCCGGGTCGTCTCTTCCATATGAGAAGTATGATGCGGGCCATCCCACTCGCCGAACCAGATAGTGACGCAAAGAAGCAGTGACATCATCAGATACCGTTATCTGCCGCTGTGCACGCAGCAGGGTGGAGGCACAAACAACATAGCCAACCAGATAAGAAAAAAAAAAAAAGCTTGAAAGAATATTTACGGCTGGACAGTCATGAGTCAATTTCCCAGTTGGTGCCGAATTACAATATATTGCGCAATCAAATTGTGGATCAGGTTTTGGTGAAATTTAGTCTTTCAAGATTTTGATAAGTAAATTGCTGCTGTATACGATGAGGCACATCGAAATTGGTCGCCAAATAATCCAGAAAGTTCAATGAGAAATGCAAAACACTAAATTATGATTTGGAATGCTATGTATTTGGGTTTTGTATTTAGAGCACGCAATTATAGAAATCTCTCATATATATATATTATTGTAAAGTGTCCTTGGGTGTCTTGAAAGGTGCTTATAAATAAAATGTATTATTATTATTATTATATATATCTATATACATCCATACACACACACACACACACACACACACACACACACACACACACGCACACACACACACGCACACACACACACTGTATATGTGGTTGGTCAGTTGGTTGTGAAGAGTCAGGCACTTACTGGAAGAATCGGCGTCATCCAAATAGTCAACCTGGAAGGAGTGTCCATTGTTGAGAATGCCCAAGGAGTTGGAAGGGTCATATTTAAGTTTCAGAGGCTTGAGGGAGGGTGAAAATTGGGCTTCCTTCGGAACGATGTTGATGGGAGACTGCCTGGGCCCATTCGCTATGGGGAAGCCTTCTTCCCATTTGTCAGGACCTGTAAACAAAGTTCATCATCATCCTCCTCATCCCAAGACACACACGTTTTCGTCCGCAGGACACACGACCAAGGATGGCAACTCACCGTTGTTGGGTCCGTATCCCCATTTATGAGACATGTCTGCTCCTTGGCGCTCTCTGCAACGACACGAACGTGCGAGCAATGGCACGGAACTTTTTTTGGGAGAGTGTCCGAACGAGCGAGGTGGACGGCCCCCCGAGCGCCGCAGCAGCTCTTTATAGAGGGGCCGCGGGTCCTCACCCGAGTGGGCTTGGCTTCTTTCCGCTGCGGCCGCGCCTTCATTCTGCGAGGAGGGATGGTTCGGTGAAGGGATGCGGTCCGAAGAACGCGCTCTGCTGCTCATCTTGGCGAGCACATCTCGCGGCGCTCCGAGGCTTCAAATCCAGCGAGTTTAGTCGAGACGGCTGGCCGGCGTTACGCTGGTGTTCCACCGATTGGATAGTTTTGCAGGATCATGTCTTTTTTTTTCTCTTTCTTTTTTTTTCTCCATCAAGTATGCCCCATCGGATTTCTTTGCAATATCCTGACTCGGATTTTTCTCTCAGCGTTTGCCAGCGCTCACTCATCGACGTCGTCATCCGCGTACTTCGGTATCAAAGCTCTTGACTGTGACGGTGAAGGATTTGGAAGCTCTTAGTTATAAATTTCATGATATTGGCTCGAGTCTCGGAGCAGTAGCCCGCAGGCGGTCGTAATAATGTGACGTCAGAACCATTACACCTTCGACCGTTTAATGATAGACCCAACACCTCCATACCTTTTTTGGAATAAATCATGAGGCAAAATGATTTTGTTGACTTATTCCCCAAACTGGGAGGCATCAATTCTCTCGCTTTTGTCTCTCCAAATGTACTTATTTGACACGCGCACTGTTCAAGAAATGGCTATATCTGTCCAAATAATGTGCTCGTGTTGTTTTAAAAGTGCCTTGAGATAAGATCTTGGCACGACGTCACGAACTGACAAGTCACATTGGCTTGAAATTTAAAGCTCTCCGCAATATATGGTAATACTGTCATAGGAATGGTTCCTCATTCTTCTTTTGGGTCAAACCGTAACTTCCAATTTGTCAGGAGGTGTGATGAGGGAGGAGCCAAAAAGCAAACTCAAAACTCAATCAAGCACACAAACAAAGCCCCCAAAACCCCAATAACTCCAAGTAACAAACAAAGAAACAGACAGACAAACAAACAAACATGACCGCAGCTCATCGGTCTGCCATCATATTGAGCTCATTTCACAAACGTGGCGGTCCTTTTAAGACATAGGTGTCAAACTCAGGTCCTGGAGGGCCGCTGTCCTGCATGTTTTCCAAGTCTTCCTGCTGCAACACACCTGATTCAAATGAACAGGTTCAATGTCAGGCTTCCGCAGAGCTTGCTGATGATCTGATCATTTGAATCAGGTGTGTTGCAACAGGGAGACTTGGAAAACATGCAGGACAGCGGCCCTCCAGGACCTGAGTTTGACACCCCCGTTTTAAGAGAAAGGAGCTAATGACCTGATGACCAACAGGTGCGACGCTGGAGGAGGAGCTCTCCAATGCCGTCGACATGTCATCGAAATCTCACGTCCATTATTTGTTCTTCCATCCTCCTATTCAGCCCCATTCCTCGCATGAATGTCTTCAGTCATGCTCCGTTTCAAATCGCAACCATCGACATTGTGCATCCACTCCGCTAGCTGTGCCAATAGTGACATCATCTTTTACAAGGACACTCCCAGTTGGATTTAGGAGACAAAAGTATGGTCACGCATATGCCTTTATGTTCATTCAGTCATTTTGACGTCCTTTCCTTTGATCACCTCCGACCACCCCCACAAAAAAAACAAAAAATAAATACAGCTGCCACACAGTCTCTTGTCCAACTTGTAAGAGCTCAATTTACACGATGAGTCAATTCAGCTTCCTGCACTTGAAGTGGTGTGGCGGTCTGAAATGCCCAGAATGCCACGCACCGATTGCCAACATACACTGAGAGTTTAGGGAAATGATTATCGACTCATTCAAAAAAACAAACAATATATTGAAAATTGCAGTCTTCTTGGTTTTGTCTATGCACGCGTTCTTGAGCGTACGGACGTGTGCCTGTTCGTGTGTTTGTGTGCGCCTCTGCGTGTGTGTGTGTGTGTGTGTGTGTGTGTGTGTGTGTGTGTGTGTGTGTGTGTGTGTGTGTGTGTGTGTGTGTGTGCGTGCGCGAGCGCGGGTGCGCACAGGCACACAAAATTTTGGGTTTCCTCGATTTCGCAGTCATTTGCTGCCACCTTGGGGCTCAACAAGAGATTGACAGCACCCATTTTGTGGAAATAGCAACACACATGAACGTGACAGCATGACTTAAAGCTTCATGTTATGGATCTAGTCATGAAGAATTTCCTTGACATCCGCTCACACTTATCCCAGCAATCGATTGGTTAGCCACAATCACATCACAACACCAGGAAAAAGAGTCTTTCGCTTCTTAATGACTGCAGAGCAGAGGTGCCGTGCTGGCTGGAATCATTAGCCAGATGGTACCCAAGGACATTGCAGGGTACATGATGGTGCGTCGGTCCAGAGGCCTCGAATAGCACGAGGTGGAGACACGTTGCCGTTTCAACAATCACGATGGCGCGTATGGAGGAGAATCAGGGAATGAGGATGTCTCCGCCATTGCTGAGGCAACCCCATCTTTGGCAGAGTTTATCAGCCCCTTCCGATCATGTTGCGGTCGCACCGGAAATCTTGACCACAGGCTAACGGGTTTGAAAGATGCTCCTTTAAGGGGATTTAATAATTTAGCATCTCTTGGTTGTTTGTTGCCTGCGGCCACATTTCAACCGGCTGCAAACAACTTCCAAGTGGCTTATTCCACTGACAAACTTAAGTGTCTGCTCTTGGATCTATGTTAGACATATTTCTCAATTACCTTTTAGTGTTTCAGCGTAAAGTTCATGTCGGGAGAACGTCACCGTTTTCCCCATAGGGAAAAGTTCGATTGGATCCAAGATCAAGTCATTGACAAATTGCCTCTGTAGAAGCAATTTTAATACGTCTTACAAGCAAGGGGTCGGGGGTGGGGGTGGGGGGGGGCAGTATAGGGTCGTAGCACCAAAAAATAAAAATATTAACAGATGCTTTGAGTGTCTTGTGCTGCAATGCCATCATCTGAATACGGATGAAAGTGGAGTGACACGCATTGGTCATGCATAACACTCTTGACAGTCTATTTTGTTTCAATCAGTATGCAAGAATGGGAAAAAAAGTTTTGCCCGGTTGTTCTGAATGTTGGATGTGGACTGCACAAGGATAGCTTCTGCACTGGGAGGAATGTCAAATGGCATGTTTGCCCAAGGCACCAGGATATTGCAGCTCTATGAAAAAGGCTACATCTCAATTCATATCAATGCTTCTTTGGACTGCAAACTTTGCCTGGACAAAAGCGTCCATGGATTCGTACGTTACAGCAGAGGTGGCAAATCCAGATGGAGAAACTAAAACAGTTTTGGCTTGCTCAACAGGTGATTCCAACTCGCTCGTTCACCTCGATCTATCCGTCCACCAGTCCCTCTCAAATTTGAAGTAGAATACTGTAAATTAATTTCCAAGTCTATTCAATCTTCACTTGATTTGCATCCAGATGATTTGACTTTGAGCAGGCACTTGACGAAATACAAGCGAGTCCACTTAACAGAGCATTTTTGTCAGTGTACACCTGCGCTCTTACTTGCACCGGTACTGTTATAACTCTGCTGCTGCTAAAACAATGAACGACAACAACAATAATAATGCTATGGGTAACACGAGGCAGTAGTGGATCCAAAAGCAAATGGGAGAGGTTCAAATGGAGCGCTTCGTTACAGAGAACTCGGTACACAAAGGCCGCTCGCAAACAAGAAGGTGAAGCTCCGGCTTAGTGTTGGACAACTGACGAAGAGATGAAGGAACGAATCGAGCAGTCCGTTGAGGAAAACGAGCAGCCAGGGTGTGCAGGGTGGCGTCGGGAAAGAGACAACCATAATAAAAAGCTGAAGCGCCAAAGTTCCAAATGGTAAGCGTACGCACTCGCTCAGAATACGCCAATTATCTGGCACCCGCTGGCAAATGATTGGCGACCAACAGCGGGTGTGGGAACACACTCCGGAAATCACCCCGCCCCGCCTGATCATTTAAGGCGAGAGACAAACACAAGGTGCCCGGAAGTGGACTTGCCGAAATAAATGAGCATGTGATTTTAAACGCACAGAGGAAAGAGGGTCTGTGACGACATATCACAAATAAGACGAAACAATAACATATAAGCATCTTTAAGTCTCATAAAAAGCTTTATAAGTGACATTATGTATTGTATAGTGGATTGTAATACTACAATTTCCTTCGACAAACTCGGAGGACACCGAAGCGTCAGCGGCGGTGAAGGAGGGTGAGAAACGTGCGCTTTTATTTTTGTAAGCACATACCGGAACCAAAAGCGGTAAGACCGGGGCGTCCACCTGAGCCGCTGAGCGCAGGCTTTCGCCACTTGATGCCCACACATTGACGTCGACGCCCACTCCCGAGTCCCTCTCCCTCACGTTCCGCCGGCGGACGTCGCCGCGGGTACCGGAAAGGGACGCGTCTTTGGATGCTAGGCGTTGAGCGACGATGTGAAGAGCCGAACGAGGTAAGCTCGCTTTAGCCCGTCCGGTCTAATGACCGAGCGGCCGGGCGTTGCGCGAGGGAACCGTTTCTCGGCGAGCGATGCCGCTTCGGATGACCGACTCATGTCGCCTGCTCGGGTGCTCGTCGTGGGCTGTTGGCTTCGACGAGTCGCTGCTGCCGCGGCTCTTCAAGCTTCAGCATCATCAGCATCTTCGGCGTCACCGTCGCGCGGATGGAGATCCACCGCTGTGGTCGTGGGAATTTTTTTATTGCCCCCCCCTCCCACCCCAATCTCCCCCAACCCCGGCATCACCGAACGCGAATGTCTTAAAATATGTCATTTAGGATTAATCGAACACCCACATTCGGAGCCTACTTTGTAGGGACGGGGGAGGTGGTGGTGGTGGTGAGGGGGTGGGGGGGGGCATTCTGACCAAACGATTGTCGGAAGTGAAAGCCTCTTGAAGGTAATCAACGAAAGCGAGTTTCCCGGTCGCTCGAAGCAACATTTCACACCTCTTCACGTGTCAGACTCCTTCCGTGAAGGCGGCATCCAAGTCACGTTTCATGTCACAGCTGCCTGCGCGGAAGGCTGCTCATTTTGCAGGGAAATGAGCACAGATTGAACAGGTTGCCGGCGCTGCCAGGCGGAGGGTCGTTGTCCCAAGATCGACTGACGCCAAGTGTGATGCAGTCCTCTTCCCGCAACTTGGGAGCCCGAGTCAGGTTGTCGCCCGCTCGTGGCTTCGGATAAGAGGGCAGGGGATCCGCGCTTCGAATTCCAGAGGACCAACTGGTGATGAACAGCGTGTGGGCAGAGCGTCGGCTCTCCAAAGATTCCTATTTTGCACTCGCACCGCGGGAAGGCCGCGCCGACGTACTTTTATCGTCGACGAAAAGGAATGAAATAACCGCACGCATGCCGGCAAAGCTGAACAAACATTTTCGTGCAACAAAAGCAACTAAAATAAAGGCCAGAGTCTTTTGGAACCAACTGAAAGGACAGTTGCCATTTGCAAAGCGAATTAAGCCAGTGGTAGAAGCGTTGGCTTTCATCTTTTTTCAAGGAATGTAATTTGCAAGCTTTTTGGGTTCATATTTATCCACTCGGCCGGCTAACGTCGTTCGCTTACTGTCTGTTGCCCCAAAACGCGCTCACCCGGTGGGTCGTTTTTTGGTGCGATGGCAGAGAGCCAAGATAGACTGACTACAGTGTGGTTTCAATGAATGATGCCTTTTTTTTTTTTTTTAATTCACACAGGTTGTACATTTACATTCCTGGTCTTACCTCCTTGGTCGAGTTGATTTGATATTTAGCAGATCTGTGAAGCATTGAAAAGGGAATTTTCTGTACATTCGGAATTTCCGGCGGTGCGGACCGTGCGCCACCATTGGTTAATTTAACGGTGACCTGCTTTTTGATTTGAGTTTGTCAATCCTCTTTTTGTGACATTGAAACTGATACGATGCTGAGGGTGCAGTGCGCACTCGCACCAAAATAGATCCTATTCATAACATGCGCATAGACACGCCATTTAGTTAGGGGTGGGCAATTCTGGGGGGCCGGTCCCCTGCATGTTTTCCACATCCTCCCGCTGCGAGCCACCTGATTCAGATGAACAGGTTCAATATGAGGCTTCCGCAGAGCTTGCTGCTGATCTGATGGTTTGACTCGAGTTGGCTCGCAGCGGGGAGACGCGGGAAACCTGCGGGGGAGCGGCCCAACCCGACTAAAATGGTTCAAGCTCAAAATGGGACATCTTTTCCAAGACTTCATTCCCCCATGTCTTGCAGCAGTCTGCTATCGTTCGGCCAGACAGATCAACAAACAAAGCAAAAATGAAAATATGACCTCCTCTCCTCAGGGAATCACATTTATGAAAGGGGACGGAAGATGTCAATCAAACTCGGAGCACACGGTTTCAACTTTACAAGTGACCGACTACGCACGGCTGCAATAGAAGTTGGCGGGGGCTTACTTCAAAAAAATCAAAACCAAACATTTTGATTTCCGGTTCGAAAATGCAACACATTAAACAAATGTTTTGATGCAGGTTGCTCAGTATGTGCATTATTTTCCAATGTACAGTCTGGTAATCTCTCTAAAAATCTTGCTGCCCGTCTGTCTCTCGATAACATCTACCTACCTACAGACCTAACTGTCCGTCTCTCTCGTTCTCTCTTTAATTGGTGAGGTGGTAGGACCCAATGGAAATCTCCTTTGACACTTCTGTGGGGGTGAAGAACGTGCGGTTGCGGCTGTTTTTCAGTGAAGGCGACCTAAGCGGAGAGGCGCTGTGGATAGCGCTGTTCTATTTGTGTCAGCGCGAGCTCCTTGAAAGCCGGGTCTTGAATAGGATGGATGTACTTGGCCACGCTATGCTAAATGATGTATTAGCCACAGAAGTGCAGTCCGGCGGAGGCACTCTTGCCCCGACGCAAGGGTACTTGGCGTCACTCCTCCTCCTCCTGGGCAATCGGCCCCCGTCAGGGACTTGCCCCACCTCCCGGGTCCCACACCCAGTACGACTCTCGCCGGTGCCTCGCGAGGTTCACACCCGGTGCGGGCCCCGGAAGGGCCCTTGCCTGATTTTTGACGAGCTGCCACAAGTGTCCCGAAGTGGCCGTCAAGGCACACGGAGGACCGGCGGACTCGGGGCCCACTCAACATTTCTTTTAATATCGGTGTCAGATTTGTAATCTGATTAAAATGCGTCTAGCATGGCTCTCATGTTTTTGTAAGATGGAAATGGACGTTGACTGCGTTTGGCAGTGGCTCCCGCTGTTTTCACTGTTGTATTGCATTAGCGTCGGTGCTCTGAAATCTCAAAGTCAGCGCAAAGTTTCGGCTAAGCGGCAGCGACGCTGTCAAGAACATCTGCGTGACGGTCGAAGCTCTGCTCCGTCCTCTTTCCTCCTACGGTGAGACAGGCACACATTTGCGTCATCGTGAGCTTGAACATGAAATCCCGGTCCAGATTCCCAGAACGTGGCGACCGGGACTATTCCAGCTGCAAACTGCCCATTCTGCCTCTCCCCACTGTGATGTTGCCACATGTCACGCGATGAGCAGCCCATCTCAGTGCGCTGTAAAGCGGGCACTTTCCCAAAAAGGCGCGCGGCCTGAGCTCTGTCCTCATTCGGATTACCGGCCAGTTTAGTGCTTGTTTATTACCAAGGTGACAAGTACAGAGTATGCTGCCGAGTGTACTCCGAGTGGCCATTTTCTTTTTTTTTTTTTGTTGTTGTTTATAAGGGTTTGGGTGAAGTCAAACAGATCACCCACTGACATGGAACCGGCTCTTGAAGTTTCCTGTTGCTCCAACAGAGTTCCATCAACCTTTGTGGTTTGACTGGGTAACCCGAATGGAATACGAGAACACTTAATAGCTTTTCGCGACCTCGTACATCCAATTTATTTGTGGGAGCGGGTGGGGGCGGGAGCCCCGGGGGCCATGTCATCATTCCACAGTCCAGCAGCGTGAGTGTCACGATGAGAAGAAATGAAAGCAGTGCGTGTCCCAGACTACGGAAATGATGGTCCAAGATGAGGTGTCAAATTTGATGATTCACGCTTGTTTCACAGTCGTCTGGTCATTTCGGTCCCAACTCCTTCACACATCCCACCACTGAGCTGTTCCCTTATCCGTCTGTCTCTCTATAGTCGGCTTCAAGGGGATGCGCAAACACAAAAGTGGATTTTGCGTGCGGCATCATAGCCCTACGCGCCGCGCGCCGCGATCGAGGAAAATCAAGGCGCCACGTATCGGAAGGCAGAGAGAAGGAGAAGCGGCCGCCCACGCACTTCTCCTCAGTCCTGCGCTCGGAAGGCGAGGTTGAATCACATCAGTCGGTGGGCGAACAGAAGAGGGAAAGAACACACGCCAATTCTGACACACAGCACTTTTTTTTTTGGGGGGGGGGGTGATGGGACGCCTTTCAAAAAAATTGAAAGATGCTCATCGATGCATTGAGCATTCCCTTATTCGTGGCACTTGAGAGCGAGATCAATTTTTCGGATTGCTCTGTCACCTCCAAAAGCTATTCGGCTGGAGAAAATCCTCTCCATTTTCAAAAAGCCAGCGCGATCGTATTGACATAGTTTGACCAATTTAGAAACAGCAAATTGCCAGAATATAGATGCATGAAAAAAAATAAGCCTCTCTGATTGCTTGGATTATATTTGGGTTCTCCAATGTACCCATCGATCGTGAAATTACAGAACCGCGTGCCGCCTATGCCCCCAAAATGTGTTGTTCTGCTTTTGGGCTGACTGCGACGCAACAGGTAACGTCGTGGATTGGAACTCGAAAAGTGATTGATCGGCCTGAAAATGAATACAGTACTAATCTCGTCACGCTTCATACGATCGCTGCGATTTCAAGGTCTCGTGTTGTCACAGCAATGTGCTCATATTGACAGTGCGCCCTATCATGTTTCCAAGCGTATCATGTGGAAATATGTGTTGCTATAACGCACACATATACCGTGTATATGCACACACACACACACAGAGTGCATGGTTAGGATTTAGCGTGTCAATCCTCCGTTGTGAATCCGAACGTCTCTGGCCAAGTCCACCTCCAGTGTTGGTATCCAAGTGCAGAGTGACTCAAAAAGGCTTTTTGTTCGCCAGCTTCCATTGAGCCGAAAATAGCTTGATCCCAGCCCCATTTTCATTCCTCCTCACGCCTACACGCAGCTTCAACGCAGCAGTCTGCTACATGTGGCTCTTAATGGAAGGATGGTGGTACAAGGAAGGTTGGGGTACGTTCGGCTCCTGTTTCCGCCCTGCTCTCTTTCAGACAGATTTCCTTCCGAGTTCCGCTCACCGATGGCAAACTGAGCTTGCTGCCTGCGTCACGTTTAGTTTGACATCCAAACGTTGTACGTCTAAGTCCCGGCTTTTCCCGGGCGAACTCGGTTATCTCGGTGCTTGCGCGGCTGGGTCGTCTCCAAAGGCTTCAGTGTGATTTGCTGTTTTGTTTTTTTTTTGTCTTGCCCTGCGATTGGCTGGCAACCGGCCTGTTGCCCAAAGTCAGCTGGGATGAGCTCCCGCGAACCTGGCTGAGGCGAAGCGGCGTGGAAAATGAATGCACGGATGGACGGAGTGTGCAAGTGGTCTTGATTTTGTCGCTGGTGACTCTTCATTAATGGGGAGTGAGGATCACTTGTTCCAGGGCCTCAAATGTCACCTTTCCGATCGGCACTTCTTCCGTCACTTGAGTCGGTTCACTTTTGTGTACTTACACTGGAATTTCTACAATCTTACAAACCACAATGTGTGTGCGTGTGTGCGTGTGTGCGTGTGTGTGTGTGTGTGTGTGTGTGTGTGTGTGTGTGTGTGTGTGTGTGTGTGTGTGTGTTTTCCCCAGGACGAAAAGAGAAAATAATCATTGACTCGGTCAGTTCATTTTGTGCGGATGTCAGAGTTTTGTCAATACAACATCAATCAATGGTCAAATGAATTTGTCACATGAGGAACCAATAAACCTGTTCGTTCGCAGCTCTTATTGCCAATAGGAAATACAGTCGTGTTGCTCACTTGGCGGGGGGGAGTCTGACCTGCAAGTGGCCACGGGATTGCTACACCCAGCAGTCTAAAATTTGTTCAATAAATAAATAAAAATAGGAGGAAATAAGTGAAGAGAGTCGCCAGCTGAGCTCTGGGCGAAAAAAGAAATCATATAATGTCAGCCAGTGTTAAATTGAATATATGTGAGTGAGAGGGTAAAAGAGAGAGCGAGCCGGGTGCATTCAAGGGAGAGCGCTCATCTTGCATCTACCGGTGGAGCTGTCTGACTGGGTTAAGCCGCGTCCTCTTGGGCCAAGTAGGACAGAGGAATGCCAAATACACATCCCGCAACTCTGTCATGAATACAAAAGGCAACCGCTGACGCCATTTTTCTTGTGGGACAGCGGTTACGAGAGTGGACAGCTTAGCATGTTAGCAGGTTGCTGGGTGGACGAAAGGGTTACGGTACTCTTTCAAAAGGAAATAAACGTCAAAGAAAACCACTTTTTACCCCTTTGCCCACCACCCTTCTGCTCACGGTGCTGGTATTGTTGTCGAAATAGCCATGGAAATCCCAAATAGTGGGGTGTCATTTTCAGTGGAACCATCACTATGTCGGTGGCGGACAAGAAGCGAGCAAACCTGATGAAATTGCTACTCACGGTTCCTGCGGGTGAATTGGATCCTTTTTTTTCAATGTCCGTTTCACTGCGTGCGCTACAACCTAAGATGAGGGGCCTCCCCCTTCTTCCCAAATCAAAAATGTGTCCGAGCTGAAACCGCAGCAGAGGTAAGAAGTTGCCTCTGCGCAATATTTCGAGTCAGACAGGCTCTGAATAACGCAATGTGCCTGTGTGGCTTTTCTCCGGGGGACTCGGGTCTTCTCCCGCAGTCCTGAAACAGGCAACACCCTACAGATTGTCCCTGGGTGTGATTGTGATCACAAATGATTGTTGGTCCGAGCTTGCCCTGCGATGGGCTGGCGACCGGTCGAGGGTGTGCCCCGCCGAGCGCCCGAAGTAGGCCCCGGCACGCCCGCGACCCTCGTGAAGATACAATGCATTAGAAAATGGGTGGAGGGATGAACGTCATCGAGATGGGATCCAGGTTAATATTTGGAACATCGGGACAAGTCTGAAAGATGCGTCTCTACCTTGGGACACAGGGCTAAACGATGGAGGACGGTTGCCTCCCCTCAGTTGCATTGGTCGCATTGTTGCTGTCTGTCTGGAAATATCTTCCGGAGTTTCGATTTGGTGCCGTGGAGCCGTTGAGTAACTCGCAATTGAACGATGCGGTGCCTCCAATCGACAGAGCTGCCGTGAACCCCGATAAGGCTTTTTTTCCCAAATCATATCAGGGATCCGCGTCCATCCTGGCGGATGAACAGACAACAGGAAGTGGTGATAGCAGGTATGAGAATTTGCTGTGAAGAGAGACGAGAAAGTCGACGACGATATTTGAATCCGCAAAAAAGTCAAGGATGGATTGGAAATTCGGAATGTTGAAAGCCACAGATTTCAGGATTGTCCCCGACAGCGCTGAAATGTGCCGCCGTACTTTCCCATGCAATAAGCGCTCCTTTTTTTTTTCCCCACGCACCAAACCCCACCCTCCGCTTTTAATGTGACGCGGTTCATCTGACGATGGAAATGTCCAAGTCCACTCTCATCCTGGAGATTCATCCGCCACTTGCGGTTGCCGTGCGCACGCGTGAGAGAGACCCCCCCCCTTCCCCCGCTGCTCCCGTTTGCGTGCCAAGCAGCGGACAGCTGTGCGGGGCCACTTGAGAGTGGAAGAGAAGAAATCTCGAGTTGAGATGAATGAGCGTCGGGAGCGGGTACCATAAATGCAGCCATCTCTCTGTTGGCTGTTTGGCTACCGGCTCGCACCAACGCTGCCGACCGACCGCGGGCGCTAACCCCCGGGGCGCGGCAACTCCGGTTCCCTGAATTGGCTTTGTTCAGTGCACAAGAAGATGCGAGCGTTGTGGCAGGGCAGCTCGTGGCCGCTTCACCGTGACAGCGCGCTCGCTCGCGATGCCCCGAGCATCCGCGAGAACAAGGCCGCGCCGAAGCCGCCTCCCCACTCACTCGCCCTGGTTTTACAAATGATATTTTTTATATATTTTTTATATTTTGCCTGGCAAAATGTCTTACCTCCTCGGTGTCCTTCTCTTTCAGAGTCCGTGGCTCTCTTCTCAGGGAAAGACATCCAGGGCCGTTCGCCGTTCCTGTTTGGCATCCGGCCTTCTCTCTCCCCCCGCATCATGAAAGGCCTTTCGAGTAGCCGGAGTCACCATCGCGTGGCGTCCTACGAGCCATCGTACGATCCGCTGGGTCAGCACGTTGACCGCAAGCCATACTTGATCAGTCAGATGGACATGCCACTTCCTATCGCAGTGCCGCATCCGAATGAGCTGTCGTACTACAACGCTCCGCGTGCCTCGTACCCCTCTGACAATAACAGCGTGGTCCCGTACGGAACCTTTCCGAGACGATGCCATTCCACCTCCTCATCTCACCATCCTGAGGTAAAGGATGAGTGTATGGCCATGGTACCATATGTAGGAGCAGGGAGAGGAGGAGGAGGAGGAGGAGGCGGAGGAGGCGGCGGCGGCGGCGGCGGAGGCTATGGTGGTAAAACACCCAGCCGGGTACCGGCGAACGTCGCAGACCCGTTTGAGCACCAGTCATCATTTCCCAGGGACGGTTACCACACACTGCAATACAAACGAGGAATGTTGGCCCAGAGTGGGGGGATGGGGCCCAACGCCAACAACGACAGCCCGGGGAGGATTCGCCACCTGGTTCACTCGGTCCAGAAACTGTTCACCAAGTCCCATTCTCTGGAGGGGCCGCACCACACGCAGTCCGTCAAGGGGGCCAGTCACGGGAGCGTTAATGGTGGTGTCGGTGGCGGGGGAGGTGGTGGTGGTGGTTCCAGGGCGAGTCCGGAGGGTGACGCCCCACCCGTGGGAGCGCGCCAGAGGAAGCGCAGCAAGAGTCGGGAGCGCTGTCGATCGGCGGAGCCCAAGCAGCGAAGCCACCACCATCACCACCACCGGCTCCACGGCTCAGCATCGGCACCGGGCTCCGGATATTGGAGCTCCGACGATAACCTGGAACGGGAGCTGTGCCTCTACCACCCTCACCACCACCAACCGCCGCCCTCACCTTCCCCCTCCGTTTCGCCCTCGCCCGTCGCCATGACGACGGGCCGCTACCCCGGCCACGCCCCCGACAACTTCGCCCTGTCCCAACACTACTTGGCGATGGACCCTTACGACACAATCGGTGAGCGCGCGCACGGCCACGCGCACCGCGGCCACCCGCACCGCCATTCTGCACTCAAAGCCTCCTGGAGCAACAACGATGTCAAGTACGCGGCGCCGCCCCCCTGCGCGCCGGTTAGCGCTAGCGGCAATGACATCGGTGGCGGCGGAGGAAGCGGCCCCTCGCTGTCTCTGGGTCCTGCGGACGCGGCCCTGGTGAAGAAAGGGGCGTGGTCGTCGAGCTTAACGGTGAGCAGGGCCCGAGAGGTCTACACCAACCACAGCAGCCACAACCAGCTCAGAGCCAGCGCAGGATCCGCTAACCTAAACCTAGATAGAGCTCTAGTCAAATCTAAGGGCGGTCGGCAACGGGAGCGCACTTGCCATTTGCTACAGGTAATTCATTCCACCTCGATTCCAAGCCGCAACCGGTTGATTCACCCCCTCCCTTCTGTTGATCGTCCCCCCTCCCCATCATTGACAATGTTTCCTCTGAGCCCGTGCGATTCAATCCGTCGCGATTGCCCCAACCCCGCTTTCACACGGAGGGGGCAACTCTCGACCGACGTCGCACAAATTATGCTCGGGCGTACCGTCGCTCCTTTCGGTGGTTTCCGTTTGAATTGACTTGGTCTTACCTGAACGGAACAGGACGCAAAAGTCAGCCTGACCGTCACGGTCCACGCCTTCACGACTAATTGAAGCTGTCCAGTCTTTTTAGCCTCGAGCGGTTACTGGGCGGCCCTTGCCCCTTCTTTCGTTTTGCGCTTAGATTGCTTGAGTGGTCCACGAGCAACGTGGCGAGAGTCCCCTGACGTCGGGAACCAAAGGCCTTGATTGAATTTGCGAGGGTGCGGTCGGATCCAGGATGGTTCCCGGCCCCGTTCAAGCGCTTAGGTCAGAGCACTCGGCGTGATTGCTGACTGAAATCAAGAAGCAAAATGTTGCCGTGCCCGGACATTATCTTTCAACGAACACTGCGGCGTCCTGTCTGCCGGAGCATTTTGAAGGCGCGCCAAACGAACCTTGGACTCTGGAAAACCGGTCCAAATGATTGTTGGGGAATCCGCGCCAGTAGGCCGCCGATCGCTTGCCTCCACAGATAATGATATCAATCACACGTTGACATGAGCGCGACAAACGTTTTGGGGTCGTTGCGGCTTGGTCGCGGGTCTCCCCGATTGCGTTGATGTCAATTGAACGCCGTCTTAGAGATTCGCCATGAAAAACCACGCGCACAAACGCATCGCATCTCGTATTCGGAAGGCCAAAGTACCGAGAGCTTTCGAGGGAACATTGCAAAACCAAAGATCGCCCGCTGCCACCTTCCCCCCGGCTCCCATTCACGTAGCCGACTCGCATTCGGGCGTTTTATGCACCTCACCCCCTGCCGCCCACCCGCACCTCCTTTCGTCCCTCTTGGTTTGGAGAGCCTCTTTCTCCCTTTTCCTCCTCCTCCTCCTCCTCCTCCTCCCGACACCATTTTAGCTCAATGGAGAAGTAAGCGCGGTCAGTAGAGGCCTTACTCTCTCAACGCCAAGCGATAACACGAACATCTTTTCCTCTTTGCCTACACCATTTTGAATTGACTCTCACTTCTGTCCCGCCCTTCACTTTGTTGTCTTGCTTTTTCTTCTTCTAATGTCTCCGGTTTTGTCGTTTTCTCGATTTATTTCTTGGGTGTACTTGTGATGCGGGGTCTATTTTGTTGAGCCTGCCTTGGGGAGATGACGCGTTACGTTTGTTGCTGTTTGTTGTTGCCGGAGTCACGTACGGGGAGGACGCAAATTGTTGAGGGGGGCCCGTTCGAGGCCGTACGACGCGCAAAACAACTTGACTGCCACCGATTTTGTTCCTCGAAGATCGAAGTCCGGGTTATCGAGAGCGTGATTGAATTCCGTCAAGACGCTCATCGGATGAGGCGTTTATCAGAAAAAGAGCAGATTGTTTTGTTTGCTAAATGGTGAATCCATCCATTCAGCGTCAACAAATGTGGCTACATTACAAAAAAAATCGATCGATCCGATGGACGGAAGCACTGCACAAAACTTGAACCCAACGACAAAGAATTTGAGATCACGGTGACGCCGAGTCCGATGAAAGGCAGAAATGGATTTCTGATCCGCGTCTATGAAAGAACGGACGCGGTCGGAACAAATGAGGCAAGAAAGGCTCTTCCCCAAAAGCTGGTGGAATTCCATCACTCATGTCGAAACTTGTTTGCATTTTTTTCGTGTATGAAAAGCTTGTTCTTGAGAATGTCTCTCTTTGTTGTCCCTGCGCTTGAAAAACACCGACCCCTAACCGTGATTGACTCACGTGTCTCAATCATGATGAAGAAAATTCGCGTTGCTCCGCAACATGGCGACCGACTTTCAATCATTTGGTTTCGGGAGAACATCCGTTCCGAAACATCCCTTCAACGCAACGCATTGAAATTCAACAAAGGAGGCAAATCTGCTGCATTGCAGCTCGTTATTTGGAAAGGTGGCCCCCCTCTCAGCCATCGGCCGTACAGCGACACACCGTCGGCCATCGGGATCGGTCCAGAAACGGCGTGGGCACGTTGACGAGAAAGAAATACAACCGAGTGAGTTGCGCTCGCCATCAAACGTTCATCAACGCGAGCGGCCGGACTGCTCCCCGGCCCCCTCGGCACAACAAGTGCGGGCCGTGGCGGAAGCGAGCGCCGCGCGTGGGTGAGAGGCACCGCCGATGCCGCGGCCGCCGCCGCCGCAGCTGGTCCCTTCCCCGCAGTCGCTTTTTATAGCCAAACTGCTCATTTGTGTCTCTCTTACGTCACAGGCTCTCGCGCGCGCGCACACGGAGAGACGGACCAGATATCCGCTCATCCTCTTCCCCTTGGTGACTCACGCGTAATTAGTCAGAGGAGCGGCGAAATTCGCCTGCCGCTTGTCTCCTCCATTGTCTGTCAAATTGACGCCACATCGGAGGAAGGCCGCAAACCCGCTTTTGCCGGTGGAACGCCCACTGGCACCGCTGTTGCCAAAAACGGAGGAGCTGCGCTGGTGGTCATGACGTGCCCACGCCGCGCAGACGCTGCCCAGAAAGCAGACCACCATTCGGGCTTCAGTCCTTCACCAAAACAATTCACGTGCTTCCAGTCTTCCTGTACTCTTGTCATCCCAGTCTTGCACAGCTGGAAAGTGAGATACAAAAGTGAGGGAGAGCTGGCATAAACCGCCGCGCGCACACATATATATCTATAGAACATATGTATGTGTACATAAAAGCTCCTCGGCTCCCTCCCCTTGCCTTTATTTTCCACCGGCATGATGATCCGTGTCGAGAACGGGCGCTGAGATCGCACAGAGCGGCGAATGCTTGTGAACGCTACGCACCAATCGGTGGATGGGTATTGGTAACCATGGTAACCACCTCGAGGCGGCCTCTCGCGTTGCTGAAGAAAAAAAGAACTTTGACGAGACGTCGAGCACCATTTCCAAGTGCTTCCGACGGTTTTGCAAACACTTCTCAAAAACGTGTTCAAAACGTCCTCGCGAGGAGGAAAACTATTTTGCGAACCCCGACCAAAGCCACGACTCGCTACGTTCGCTAGCGTTCGCCGCGCCGTGAGCTACGGTCTTAAGGATTATCGTTATCCATCATTCTTATTGCTATGCCCCGCCCCCCTCCCAAAAAAACATTCTTGAGTATACCCGCTAGCCTGACGAGTTCCACTTTCACTTTGCCCACCTCCAGAACACTCTTGCACATCTTTCGCCAGTGCGTCGGTGAACTGAATCGACTCCTGCAAAGCAGATGTATGAAGTAGCCTGAGAGAAATTTCCGTGCTCCTTTCGGCTTCCCGCGAACACACGCACGTGCACACACACGGACAGACGCACACGAGCAGAGTTTCTCCTCCGCTAATGAGCCAACAAACGGTGCCATGACGGCGTGAATGCGGGCGTGAATACGAGTCTCTTTACCGGCCGGTCGGTGGACTTCCTGTCGGTGCCGTTGGCTCTTTTTAACGCTCAGCGGGACGCTTTGGCGAGACGGTTTGGGTGCAGCGGCGCAGGCGGCATTGATGGCAATTGTTTGTGGACCCGTACGAATGACCAGGTACCTCAGGACGAGTGGAGCGCTTTCTCTCCTCTGGGGAAGGAGGACGACATCCCGTGCCGAAGGATGAGGAGCGGCAGCTACGTGAAAGCCATGGCCGAGGAGGACAGCGGCGACTCCGACGGGAGTCCCAAACCTTCCCCCAAGATGCAGGCGCGACGCGCCAGCTACTTGAAGGCCACCCAACCCTCGCTGACCGAGATGACCACGCTACAGTAAGGGTCGCTTGCTCTTAGTCCTTCGGACACTACGCCTTGCGTTCACCCACGCCGTTTTCATCCCGAATTTGGCCAAGATCCACGGAAAGTCTCGGACGTCGTCAAAAATGTGCGCGCGGGTGCTTCTGCAGTCATGGCAAGAAAGAAGGATATTGACAAACAGATTGCATTTATTTTTAGTTCATCCCGGAAGTCATTTGGGCTTGACATGTCTGAGCGTTTGTTATTCTTTTGAATTGGATTGACTCGGATCGTTTGGGCCTGGGAGAGCTCGTCCTCGCACTTTGTCTCGCTTGACGAAAGCCACGGTTGCACGAGATCAAAAGCATTTCCCACCGAATCGAACCCTTCCATTTTGTAGCTACCGCGTTATCGCATCAAATTTTTGTGGAGAGATGCACGGTTAGCCAACCGTATGCCGGTTTTTGAGTTCCTCGACCTCTTTTGAGATGTTGCCCGGCCGAGGGTTGGTGGAGTCCAAACCAATTCGAGCACGATTTGAAGTCGAATAAAATAAGACAGACCGGGGCTCCAGCTCCCACTGCCCACCGATTTGAAAGTCTCGACATGTCCCGTAACGTCGCTACTTTTGGAAAAAAAAATGTTGACCCTGTTTTTTTTTTTTTTTTTTTTAATTTTTTGCGCCTCCGCTGAGTCACGTGTTCCGACCTTCGCCCGCGTTCCACTTTTTTGGATTCCAAACCACCCGCGCCTCCTTCTTGACAGTTGTAAGAAGGCATTTGTCCAAAAAAAGCAACAGGCGTCATGTCTTTCAAACGGGGCTATTGCTATTGCGCGTGTGTGCGTGCGCGCGTGTGTCGCCCACCTCGCCCACAGGATTCCAATTTGTTCTGTGAGGCCCAAAGTCAACCCTGCCCTTGTGTCTCCCGTAGGATTTCGTCAGAACATTCCCCCAAACTACAAATCAGGAGCCACAGCTACCTGCGTGCGGTGAGTGAGGTTTCAATCAATCGAAGCCTGGACACCCTGGACCCCAAAACCCTTCTCGATCCCAAATCGTTGCTGTCCTCACCCCAATACCGCTCACGCAATGAAAGCTACATGAGGGCCATGAGCACCATCAGTCAGGTTGGTTGTGCTGCCGAACAATCAATGCACACTATGTTTGAGTTGTCTCGTGAAATGGACAGTCACGCCGCCCGGCCGATTTCTCAGACTACCGCGCGATCCAAGCTTTTGGCACAGCTGCCTGAGATTCACACCCTTTGGCGGCTTACGTCGAAGCTCTTTGACTGAAATGACTTGACGCATGCTGAACTAGCTTGAGCGGTTGCCTCCAGAAGGTGCTTTTGGGTCCGTCCCTGCCGGGCAGAGACCCGGACTTTCTCCCAGCCTACGGCGGACTTTGGCGTCTGTGGGTTTGGAGGGGTTTGGAGCTTCCATTCGCCATTCAAAAATGATTTCTTATCCGTTCAATGAGGTTGTAACGATGATTCTCCAATGCACCTCCCACATGGCAGCCTTCGTTTGCACAGACTAACAGCTTCCCTCCAACCCGGACTTCCTGCATGCCTCCTTTGTGACCGTGACGTGACCTCCCTGCATGCCTGACAGGCCCGTGGCCGACGGAGCAAAGCATCTCAGCTTCACCGATGTGTTTTCTCCCGGTTTTGGGGTTTGTTTGGTTTTCCCCACTTCTGATTTGTCCCTTCTTCTTTCTCTGTCTGCGCGCGCCCTGGCATCTCGCTCCTCAGTTGAGTGAAGTCGAAGTCAACGGGCAAATTGAGCAGGTCTGCGAGCAGGTGTACAGCGAAATGCAGGCTCAGGCCATGCGGAGGATGGAGAGGATGGACAGGATGGATACCTTGCCCATGCCGGGATGTTTCCGCATGAGGAGCCACAGCTACGTGAGAGCCATCGATCAGGGCTGCGCCGGGGAGGAAGAAGGAGAAGGGGGAAGACCCCTGCTTTTGCTGCCATCCTCTCCGCCGCGCACATCCGCCACCACCGTCAGGACAATCCAGAGCAGCACGGGTACGATGCGGCGATGCACCACCCGAGGACGTGTCAGGCGTCATCGCGTTGTTTGCTTTTGTTTGACCGGTCGGTTGGATGTTTTTGCTGTCCAAAGCGTGCTGGCCGGGATCGGATTTTTGCTTTCCTGATTGGCGCTCTCTTTTTGTGATTTCTCGACCGAGTTTTGTGACCGAGCACAAAGCGGCAAGAGATGAGGCTTGGCGTGGCCTTTACGGTGCTCGAGATCATTTCCAGGAAACTGCAAGAACCTGGCTTCACATCAAAATGACACCTCGTTTTGACCGCTTCCTCGGAAATGCCTTTTTTGGCAAAACTCAACATTTAGCATGTCCCTTTTTGGGCACGTCTGATTGAATTTGGGGACCTCCTGCACTCGCGCGGTCCGAGGCGGCTTCCTCTTGACGCTTGAATGCAAACAGCGCACTGCCTCGAATGCGAAAATGACAGCGGAGCCGCGGGTCTGTGGGCTGGGTGGACTCTTCTGTCGACCGCATCCTCCTACGGAGGCCTGCCTCACTCCTGAGTCACCTCGGACGAAAAATGACGATGGTCCGACAGCCGCGCCTTTTCGCCGACGTCGCCGGCAATAGTTTTGCGTCGCCCGGCCGAGGTCGGCAATATGTCGTGCCGTTGAAGCGGCCTCTCAGGCCATCGAACGCTCACGCGCGCCAGCGCAATCTTCCCCAAGTGACAGAGTTGGATGATTGGCCAAGCGTGAGCTGAACTTTGCAGTGAGCCGCGAACCCCCAAAGAATGTCGTCCCGTGACATGAAAATGGCAGCGCCCCAAGGGACGCGGCGCTCGCTGTCGGGGATTGTCTTTCTCCTCAGTCTGTTCCAGATGACCTACATTTCTTTCTCCGCCGGGAACTCACTTCGAGCCACATTGACATGTTCTCGAGCGGTCGAAACCGAGCTCTTTATAGATGAGTGGACATTTTATTGTTCGCGGCGCTTCGATGACCAGTGAACTGAAAGGCGCCTTACGGCCGTGCTGCAAAACTGACTTCTTGTCGTGATGGTGCAGATTTTTGTTTTGTAATTTAGCAGTGGATGAATTCAAAGGAAATGAGAAAGTCTCCAAAAGAGCAGATTTTGACGCGAACCCCGAGTCAAAACGAGGAACTGCGCGTGTTTGAACGTGTATGGATATTTACCGATGGCCAGCAATTTATTGTCAGGCCGACGGCAACCAGGTGTGCGAATCCAAGCGGGCCAAGCTTTGGCCCATGGCCGAAGAGGCTAGCGAACCAACGGGCTGCTCCCCAGACGGTCTTGGGTCGCCCTCCCCATTTGGTCCCTCCGAGACAAGACTTGAACGAGCCAATTCGAGGGCTTCTGGTTCAAACTGAACCCTTACCATTGTGCTGATTCATTCCCTCCCCCCCAAAAAACCAAAACACACTTTGCCCTGACCTTGTCTAAAAGTTGCCTTTTCTGCAGAAATTGTGACGAGGCCGTTTGGTCCTGGGAGAAGGAGAGTGGGAATAGGAGGAGGCTTTGACGGAATGTCAGCAAAAAAGCGCCATCACATTTAGCGCCCCCTTGAGGGCCAGCGGCCGCGCATTGTCTGGCATCACAGAAGCGCAACAAACAGCAAGTCGCTCAAGTCGAATGGGGCGACATCGGCGCCTTAACGATCACAATTGTTCTCACCTTGACCCTGGTCGATTTTCCGCCTCATCCACGGTGGCGATCAAACAAGCGCCTCGGTCACAGAAAGTGATTGTCTTGAGAGCGGCCTGCGTAACGTGTGGTCAAAACATGTTGTTGGGATGCTCTGTTTTGACGCCCTCCCCTTTTCCTCCTTCTGTCCTTTTGCAATGTAGTGTCATCCTGTATCACAACGTATAAAAAAACACCCCCACCGGTGCCGCCGCGAACGTCCACCTGCTCGACGGGCTCCAAGCCCTACATCTCCATTACGGCACAGAGCAGCACAGAGTCGGCGCAGGTAAGCCGCGGCGGCGGCATTTCCCTTTTTCTCAGACCGAGCATACAATCGCAAATGTTTGAACGACTCTCGATGTCACGAGGTCAAATCGGTAAAATGCTTCGTCCAAGCGTGAAGGGGCAAGTCGACCCCAAAATGTTTCCGACAGTCCGGTCAAACCTGGTTCCGACGTCCCTGGAGGGACGTAGCGAATCTGCAGAACGCCACTTTGTCGTCGCCATTTCCGATAAAATACGGTGTAAAGTGGGGACGGCAGCACCGAGCACTCAATATTGGGATCTTTTTGTCAGCAAAATGGCTAATGGAGGCATGACGGCCAAATCAGGATCGGCGAGTGGATCCGGCTCACCGTTGAAAGCTTTCATGTGGAACATGTACAATAGGAATATTTTTGACACTCATTTTTTTTTTTTAAATGCTGTTGCATTTTTTTTTTAGTACGTTTTTTTTTTGCAAGTTTGACCGATGACATGTAAAAACTTGCGCAATGCAGAAGTTACCACGTGTTGTAATTTATAGCTCTGATGTTTTAAAAATGGAGCAAAAATTTGTCGAGCAGCGTCGTGACCACTTCAAACAAGTCAATCGTGAGTTTCCAAGATAGTCTTCTCATCATGTGACTGGGGTTCGCTTCATGAGCTGTGTGTCGAAGGTCAAATCCGTTTTCCTGATGTGACGGAGGAGATGGAATTTTTGATCATGACAAAAAAAAAAAAAAAACACCACCACCTTTTTGAAAACCGACCAGGATGCTTACATGGAAGAAGAGGGCCCAAGAGGTGACATGACCATCCAATCCGGGCTGAGTAACTCAACTGAGAGCATTGACAGCATGAAGGCTTTGACGGCCGCCATCGAGGCTGCCAATGCGCAGGTGGGTTTTCTGCAGCGCCTTTACCAACCAGCTTTTTTTTTTTTTTGTAGTCATTCTACTACTAGAATCTGCAATTTAGTTTGAGCGTTTTTTATTTTTGTTGTTGTCTTTTTCTGCAGATCCATGGCCCAGCCAGTCAGCACGTCAGCCACAGCGCCGTGACAATCAACGCCACTGCGCCGAGAGCTCTGCTTGTGGAAGACCACCAGGATGAATACAGGAAAGAGGCACTCAGGAAGGGCAAATGTCTCTCCATAGGTATCCAGGTATTGATGGGACCTGATCTGTTGAGCATAGCCTTTTTAGGGGTAGGGGGCGGAATGACATCAATCTTCAGTCGTACAATATAGACAGTCCAAAAAAAAGAAAGGTCAGTTGATGATTTGATCTTTTGGGCTGGGATTTGGGTACCCTGCAGGTGGATGGACCAGATGAGCTTCTAGACCCAGAGGACCCATCCAAGTTCACCTCCGTTGGGGTGCAAGTGGAAGATGACCGACGGTGACTACCGGTTTCCTTCTTGCCTCACTTGTAAATTCGACGCCGGGTTTTACGCCCGGCGAGATCCTCGGACGTGGGCTGCATGGTTTGACGCGTAGGATTCCCTCCTTCTCTTTTCAAGCATTTCTTCCAACGGGGCTGTAAACACTTTTTTGTTTTAGGGCCGCTTCCGAAAACCCATTCCCGTATTCGGAACCCCCCCCCCCCCCCCAAAAAAACATTGTCGGAAGGCGAACGTTTGTCAGCAACTTTAATGGGATGTCTTCAGCAATCATCCAGAGAGCACAAAGTGCCTCTAAAACGGACTGCTGTTTGTTTTTTGCTGACTGCTGTTTGTTTTTCCCCTCCGCTCAGGTATCGTCGCTTCCAACGCTCCAACAGTGTGACAGCAGCCGTGCAAGTAAGACACGCTTGAAACTTTCACGGTACCTCTTCCGTCTTTGCTCGTCCATGCCTCGCCTTTTCGCGATGCAATCCTTCTCCGATTTGTATTCTCTGAGAAGAAAAAAGAAAAAACTGGCCTATTTGCTGTTTTCTCAGATGGCCTCGGATGCCAAAGCCGTGCTTAATGGAAAATAGGATGACATTGAGCGCCTTTTTTTTTTTCTTTTTCTCAATCGATTCACCTGTTTTGAAAGGTTACGATCCTGTTTGCTGAGCATCATGGATGACATATTCACTCTTGAGACACAAATGCATCCAAAGGTGGTTCTTTTTTTTTTTTTTTCCTGGATCGATGGCCGGGCTCAGTCCCGACTCCCTCCGTCCTTCAGAAAAGCTACAGTACATGTTTTCATGGTCAGCTGAGGTTGGAAAAATTTGAGCCCCAAAAGTGCAATGGCGACAGGAAATGTTTTGGGTTTTTTTTTTTTTTTTTAAATAATAGTCAACGTGCCGTGTTTGGAAACCTTCATGATTAAGCCAAGGGAAAATATTTGACATGAGCCCAAATCTCTTGGCACAGCAGCCAAACAAACATGATCCAAATTCACTCGGTCGGTCTGAGCGTAATCGTTTGTGGAGACGGACATGTCGCTTCACTTGCATGTAGTCGCTTTGCATTCCACTGAGTAAAACCAAGGTGCAATCGTCCCGTCAAATACAAGGATTTGGGCCCAAAATGTTTTTCCGTTTTGAGATGAATTCCCAGTCCCAAGTGTCATTCCAAGCGACTCCATTGTCGCCCGGCTTTGTTTACTCGATACGTTTCACTTCTTGGCCCTTCTTCTCACGTCGCGTTACGAAGGAGCCCGCATCAGTTTTTCTTCCGACTACGACTCGTTTGCCCTAACCAGGCCGATTTGGACTTGCCGGGCCTGCTCGACACTCCTCTGGCCTCTCCCGACATGGAGCCGGAAGTCCTGTCGCCCGGTGTCCTTTCTCGGCAATACTCCCGCGATGCTGCCACTTCCACCGTCAGCATCCAGGGCTCAGGGAACCACTACCACGCCTGTGCCTCTGACGAGTATGAGGATGTGGGCTTCGACCCCTCCATCCTTCCCCCTCCGGACCCTTGGATAGACAGCGTCAGCGATGAGCCGGCCGATGGCGGCTTCAACAGCTCGGCCATCTTGGACGTAAGTACCAACTCGCTCGTCCCTTGATATGCGCTCCTTGGTTCCGAAATGCCTCGAGGTTTTAGAAGCAGGAAGTATGGAGAACTAGGAGAATCCAAAATAGCCCCCAAGAAGGAGCAGTCGCGACCAATCTACGGCCCGGGGGCCGTTTGCGGCCCGCCACCCCTTTTTCGTGGGAATTTAGCGCAAGGAAACGGACATTTGGGGACAGGTGCGGACCCAAACTCCTTCCGCATAAAAGTAAACGAGTTAAAACGCTCGCAAGCAAAGACTATGACAAAAGAGGCACGAAAGCACGGGAAAGAAAAAAAAAAAAAAGAACTCAAGCACAATCAAGACGGAGCATGAGCCCGACATTGTCGGTCACGGCCGTCTGCGGAAAAAAAAAAAGAAAGCGAGAAAGCTCGGTCACCTTTGAGGTCGGGAATGAGCGACAAGAGCAACGGCGCTCATACCGAGACGTGTCACTGATGGGATGCCGAACATGGGTGAAGAATTTGCGAGCTCGGGTCGCCAGAAGCGGGAGCGCCCACTTCAAGGGAGATGATGACGAGAGAGGGCTCCGCACCTCGCCCGTCCGCCGCCATCTTCCCTCACGCGAGACTCGGGACGCCCCTGAGTCAGCCCGGACTCCAAACGTGACTTTGCGTCGAAACAAACACAGACGGCGCGTTTGTTGGCAAAGGGCGCGGATGACCTTGTGGCACTCGCAATGACCCGCGTGTGTGGCAGGCGGCGCAGCGGACGGTGTGCCAGCGAGACGGCCGATGGTTCCTCAAGCTGCTGCAGGCCGAGAGCGAGCGCATGGAGGGCTGGTGTCGGCAGATGGAGATGGACCAGCAACGGAACGACCTCCCGGAGGATGGTACGTCTCCCATCGGGTGTCTCCCCGAAATCACAGCCCAAAAAAGAGAAATGTCATGATGTTTCGGACCGCGGCGTGCGCCTCGCGGACGTTGTCCCGTCCGGTGTTTTGCATCTGCTCCTCCTCCCGCGTCGTAACCTTGTGTTTCTGTGGTTGGAGTTCTGGGCAAGATGAGGAGCGCCGTCGGAAGTGCTCAGCTGTTGATGTCCCAAAAGTTCCAGCAGTTCAGGGAACTGTGCGAGGAGAACTTGGTGAGTGCTGGCTCTTCTTTGGTCTTCAAACACGGCTACCGGGCGTCCATGTCGGCGGGCGCTCGTGAGCCTCTTCCTCTTTGTGTTCCTTGTGCCCCTTGTGCAGAACCCCCTTGCGCACCCTCGTCCCGTAGCCTCCGACCTGGCTGGTTTTTGGGACATGCTTCAGTTGTCCATCGAGAACATTAGCCTCAAGTTTGATGAGCTGCACCAACTTCGCGCCAATAACTGGAGAGCATTCGACCCACCCGAGAGAAAGGTACGCAAATGCACCCGCGACAGGCGATGCACACGACTTGCGGTATCGCACCATGTCGAGAGTACTCTCGAGGAAAATCACAGAGGAGGACCGCAGCAAACGCAAGACAAGGAACACTTGGTCAACTACAAAGAATGAGAGCCGCCAAAATGGGGCCTTTCGAAAGAATCGGCAGAGATTCTTTTTTGTGTCACGGACCGCTCGAGGCAAGTCCAGAAGAGGGTGCGGTGGATGTTCTCATTCAAGTGACCCGCCAGGAGCCACGGCGACTTGCGGCGTCCGCTCCAACTCCTCGCTGCGCGCTTTCTAACTATTTTGTGCACACAAAGTAGGCGTCCGCGCGCAACGAGTCGTCGTTTGTGCCCACAAAGGCGTTCCTTGTGTGTACATCATAGTTAAAATCGTTTGGGGTTTTTTTTCCAAATATCATGTCTGCGGCTCCGTATTAATGCCATCAAGACAGACTTTTTTTCTTTTTTTTTTTCTTTTTTAATCAGCTGCTCCTTCTCGGCAGTATCTGATGTGGCTTTTCATCATGCTCACTTTTGATTCTGATGGCTTCCTCATTTGCTCTCATGGGCTTTTGTTTGTTTGTTTGTTTGTTTGTTTCTTGTGCTTCTTTGTGTTGACAGTGAAGGCGCTTGCCAACAGCCACGCATCCATCACCACAAGAAACACCCCCCAGGCCTTCACCTCTCTGAGCCTCCCTTGATCCATCATGTCTGTCCGTCCATCCATCTCAGCGCAATTCTCTCTGCCCTCTCCTTGCTTTCTTGTGACACCCGCCGTCGCCTGACCATGTGTGGCTTTCTCGATGTGCCTTTTGGCAGTTAGTGTCAAGGTCAACAGATACAGGAGCGTTTTGGGGTTTTTTTTGTTTTAAATCAATGCATTTTACAGTCAGGAAAAAAATAGTGCAGCAATCATCAACCCAATTCCACTGAAATTGGGACGTTGCGTTAAACAGAAGTAAAAACAGAATACAATGATTTGCAAATCAGGTCCAGCCGAATATTTGACTGAATACTCTCATTCCCGAGCAAAGATGGGGCGAGCGCGTGAGAAAAGATTGAAAAGAAGACAATGTCCCCCGACAGAGGGTTGCGAGGAATTGGGGGATTTCCTCATCAACGGTTCATCATCTCAGCAAAAGGTTGCGACGAGCTGGCGAACTCCCCGCACGTACGAGCGGCAAGGCGCAAAAGCAACATTGAATGCCCGTGACCATCCGTCCCTCAGGCGGCTCCCCGTCAAGCGCGTGTTCAAGTGATATCGGCGCGTGGGCGTCGGAACTCTTCGGAAAACCAACGTCACTCAGTTCCGTCGGACGCCACGTCTGCAACTGCAAATTCAAACACCAAAATTAACTCGCTCACGAATGAATGAAATACAAGCCACCGGCCTCATCCGAGATTGACTGATGAAAAGTAGAAACCCGTTGGCACGGTCTGACGAGTCCGCGGTTCAAATTGCTTTTAGAACTCGTGGACGTGATGTCCTCCGGGCCAAAGAGGAAAAGAACCATCCGGACTGTCGTTGAAAGTTGTGAAAAGAAAAAGTGATTTCACACGGCGGTCAATATGACCCCGTCCGTCTCTGCTGTTTTGGAAACCTGTTGCAGCCGCAGAATTACAAATGAATGCTTACTTGCCCAAAACAATCAAGTCGATCGTCGTGCGAAAGATCGTTAGCAAATGATTGCGTCGTGTCTTTATTTCCGTTCGACACAACGTCCCAACTTGATTGCAATTCATTGGTCCGGCCCAACTGAACTGGACATGGGCTGTGATTCTTTCACTTACCGCTAGAGGGAGCCTGCGTGCCGCCAGTGGGGAGCCCAGCTTGACGGCCTTTCAAAAGTCGACGCTTCATTTGATTACACGGGGATGGCGTAAAAACAGCAGTCAGAACGCTTTTTTTTTAAAGTTTCCCGGAAGGTTTCCTAGAACCTTAAAAGCAATTGTGTCATTAAAAAAAAGACACTGTTGGGATGCTGTTAGTAATTTTTGTTTGTTTAACCAGACAAAAATCCAGGACGTTCAAACTTCGTTTGGTCACTGCTTGGCAAGAATATTTTCCCCAAACTCGACTCTCGTCGCGAACTGACATTATTCAAATTTCTCAAATGGAAATGAGGAAAAGCAAATGGCAAAGGGGCACGACTGGACTATTTCGGACTTCTTGAGAAGGCCGGACCCCAAAATCCCCCAAAGGGGTCGGTCATGAGGACAGTCGTGCACGTGTGTTTCTTGAATTGCTCTTCCCTGCCCTCCCTCCCGCCCTCTCCCAGCAGGAGAGGCGGCTTCCACCTCCGGTACCCAAAAAGCCACCCAAGGCCCCGCCGCAGCACCCGCCTCTGGCCCGAGATCGTTCATTGGAAAGTTCCGAGAAACAGCGCCAAGAGGCCAGGAAGCGGCTGATGGCCGCCAAGAGAGCTGCGTCCGTGCGACAAAACTCGGCCACCGAGAGCGCCGACAGCATCGAGATCTACATCCCGGAGGCGCAGACGAGGCTATGAGGACACGGCTGAGCGCGTGGCGGCACCCGCCTCGTGCCCGCCGCGGCGGCGGGCTCTTTACGGATGACTGTCAAATGTTCGGCAGCAGCTGAGGGAGCCAAATCCAAACCTTCACAATACTGCAGGGCCTTAAGTCGGACTGCTTTCCTGTTGTCGTCAAGCTGTGGCGCACGCGCTACTGGGACAGAGCGTGACTGTTTCCTCGGGCCAGATGAACCCATGCGCCCCGCGATGACCGAAATGTCCATGCAAGAGTTTGTGAAAAGGAAATCACTGCCTACCGTAGCGGAGACCTGAGCCGACTCACGCGTACCGTTTGAAAATGCTTCTCCCGGCGCTCCGGAGCGCGGTTCTTCGCCAGTGCCATCGGTCAAATGCAGACGGAAAAACAAAAAAAAGGTTTAATATGGCAACAGCTGTGAGGGCAAGCTGCCATTGCTGAGCGCTGACCACTTCCGGCGATGCAGATCGTGCGCCACCGTGGGTTCAAGGTCACCTGCTTTTTGATTTCATTTGAATTTTTCCATACTTTTTGGGTGAAAGTGAAACTGACAGGATGCTTAGGGTGCGGCGGGCACTAACTCCAAAATATCGAATATGAAGAACGCAGACACGCGATGTCCCGCCTTTCATATGGCACGGTCGGCCTTGTTCAGCGTGAAGCCCAAATAACTCCCGAAATCCGTTCCTTTCAGCGCCTGATTACGACGATGACGTCGTCTCTTGTCTGTGATGATGCTCTTCGTGCGTGGCGACGCCGAAATCTCTCCCGACTCTCCCGGGGTGGATTCCTGGCGATCCACTCATAAATAGTGTCCTGCGCATTCTTGTTCGATGATGATGATGATCATTTGTGATTTTTGATGAAAGGATGCCGTATTTATTTTGTAATTTGTAAAAATGTTCGATATGTTGGTCGGGGGTGCAGGAGAGGGCCAAGGGAGGGGTGGGGGGGCAATTTTGTACAGCATCTAATTACCTCTGTGTGACAATGACGGTGAGCCATATTCAATGTGAAATAGACTTGTCCAAAAAAAGGGCCATATAAATGCAAATATCTGTTTGTTTTGGTGAAGTTCTGTTGCTTTTTGTCTCGCTTTATTTTTTTCATTTTTCAAAAACAAAAAAAAAAATCTGTCTGAAGCGTTCCAGTAGCAAGTTACATACGTCTGAGGTAATGTCCTGAGGAAAAGGCTTGGAAAGGTGCCTATCTGGTGTTTGGACTGAAAAAGTGGACCGTGCACAGTCATCCAAAACAAAACGGAGACGTTTCTTCAATATTTTATCAAACCGGAGGAATGCGGACGGTCTGATGAGTGCCAACCATCAATGGAAAGAATTTGAGTGAAGTAAAAAAGGAAATGGAAACGGATTTGGGACTTTCCATGTGATGCCGGATTATTGGATACAGTCAGTATAGTTTGATGTGCATTTTTTGTTCTTAATTTTTTTAAAAAAAAGGTCCAAAGGTGTCAGACTTTGAATGTCTGGAAAGGGTCGCCTTTGCCGCTGATAAGCCTTCATTCCTGCCAATGGTTTGTGTGAACAAACTCAAAGCTTTTTTCTTTCCTCAGGAAGAGCTGTAAGATTTGATTCCCGAGATCTGATGAAGCGTTCCCCAAAGTCCGCGCGTGCGGACGCGTGATCGAAATCCATGTGAACGTCAATCCAGGAATTGTTTGTGCGCCACTGCGATTTCTCTTGATCAAGTGCTTCCCGAGTCACTTGTTTTCTACGTCAGACCTTTCTCGAGCGCTCTCGTCGCCATTGTCGATATCAACTCCACTTGTACTGGCCACCAAAGTCGCGGGTGTCGTACACGACGCGATCGACGACGACTCCGAACGCATGCAGACACCATATGAGAACTTGGTCGGACGATATCCAAGTGGAAAACGTGTATGGGGTTCCTCGCGCTCTCATTTCTATCTATACATCTAAATATTTATTTATTGATTGATTGATTTATAACTATGAGGTTTTGTTCGGTGAACTGTCATGCTCTTATATCGTAAAGAGTGCATAACTATTCATGGAAGTGGAATAAAACTGTCAAACGCGACGTGTTCCTTGATTGAGTTATTTTACAGAGAGCTTGTTGTTTCGATCATTATATTGAAAGCGAGAATAACAATGCCGTTATTTCGGGTGTTTCTCGATGAAAAGATGCGACTCGCGGTATTCGGCGCGTCACAAGGTCCCCGACCCGCGTTTCATTTCAGCGGGCTGCCTACTCTCAACAGCGGATTGAAAATTCCCGATTCGACACGAGGAGCGAGGCCGCAGACATGACGGCTCGTGAGGCACCAAACCCAAACCGATCACCAACGTTTCAATCCCTCAATCGGTTTCCGAAAACCAATGAATTGAATGCTTCCATCCCTCAGGCGGCACCGCATGAAAAACCGCATCAAGGATGTGAGCGCGTGGACTCCTCCGAAAACTGGTGCACACGCTTTGTCGCTACATCGACCGAAAGGGAAGTCAAAAGTCGAGCGTGCAAAGTGAAAGCCATCGAGCGAAATGCCGTGAGCTTTTCTGGGCCCAAGCTCACCGAAGAGGGACTGTGGTCTGACGAGTCCCGAGTTCAAATCGCTGCCCCAACTTTACTTAAGTTTGTGCTCACAAGTCAAAGCAAAAAAGAAATGCTCAAATGATCGGATGTATCTTGAAAATGGCGGCTTACTTTGTGAGGCAAATGTGGCTGGCCAAGCGGCGAAGGTGGTCACCTTCCACGGCGGCCGCCCCGGTAAGAAGTCTCGCTCCTGGACCGCATCGTGTTGCTTTAGCAGACGGACAGTTATGCACTTTGTTCTCTCGGGACGCTAGAAAATCTCTCGTTAATCTTCCCCAATCCTCCCCACAGCCGTCAACAGCCCCGAGGCAGAGCCGGACTCTCTCCGGTCTCGTCACATATTAGCCCAACTCTGGACTCCATCAGATTAACGCCCGAGTCAATTAGAGGCAGCAACAGATGAATCCACCGCTGCCGCCCTCGTTGACAGACGCAGGAACTCCGCTCCCCCGCCCGGCCTCCGCCTCGGGGCCTTTGGGGGATTAGCGTGCAGCTCGATACTGCCGGATTTGCGCCTGTCGTACTGGAGCCCAAATGGAGAGCAAGACGGATCCTTCGGTCTCTTCGCGGTTGACATTCATTGGAAAGTTATCGTGTGAAGATTAGCCCCGCAAAATGAGAATGGCTATCTTCTCTTCTTTTGTCATCCGGAACAAAGCTTTTGTTTAAGTTTGCGAAAGCAATTGATGAAGAAATGGAGATGTGTTTTCAGACGCACTACAAGGAGATGATGAAACGGAGACAAAAAAATGCAGTCGATATCATCGCACGCTTCGAGGACCGACATCCTTCCAGTGCATGCAAAGGTCTTAAGCCACCACTCACTCCGATGAGCCTTTTAAACAAACAAAACTTGAACATAGTCGATCTCGACCCATGAATAGCAAAAAGTGCAAAAGAGCGGGTTGGGGAGCAACCCTAACATTTCAATCACCAATGACTGTAGATTTTATTTCATACTTTTTGGAAATAAATGGGTGGAGGCGTGGTTGGGCGGTCCATGACATCTTTCTTTCTTCTGTTTTGGTTTCATGGTTGTGTTTCGTTTGTGACCAACAGGTGGCATCGGAGAGCTTCTCCCCAAGCGGCGCACCTGTTGGTCTTCATGTCATCGGCTCCTTTGTTGCGTTCGAAGGAGCGCTACGCCGAGCGTCGTGCGACCATTTTGTGTCCTTGCGACTTTGAGTTGTTGCGCTTTTCAGGGCTTCGTGTTTAGGACGTCGTTTTCCCAGCGAGCCTTTGGAAGTGTTTTTGTTCAAGTGCGTTTGGTATGGCGCAGTCCACCCTCGTTTCCTGCATCGCTGCTTTTTGCGGGTCCGCATGAAACAAAAAAACAAGATCATCTGTCCAACGTACCATATTTGAAGATCAATTGCGGGGAAAAGGACATTGATTGTTAAAACGGAGCATTATTTTTGGCGGAGCATTATATTTGGTTTGCATATATTTTTTCTCAAATCACTATTTGTAGGGTGAGACTCAATAGTCTTTTCTTCCTATCTTGAGTAAATGTCTCTTGGAGCTGGATATCGGTTGGGAAAATTAATTATTGCCTCCCCAACATCTGTGTGTCTGTGTGTGTGCGCGCATGTCCGTCCCTGCACCAAGTGTCACAATTCCCAGGCCTCCCTGGTGCTGTTGCGCATGCAGTATTGCTCCAGTCCAGACTAATTGTGACCTGCTTTCGTGTGTGTGTGTGTGTGTGTGTGTGTGTGTGTGTGTGTGTGTGTGTGTGTGTGTGTGTG